TGTAAGCAACTCCATGTAAGATAGGTAATCATCTCAATTATCCTTGAAATCAATGCCACAATCTGCCTTGATACCTCGGAACACCATATCCCCCTTGTTCAGAAGTCATCACTACTTATGAACATTTTTCCTGTAATTCAAACAAGATAGGGTCTAGGTCTTTTTCACCTTTTACTTCTGACACTAATGATGGGTCAGGCCCATTCATCATCACTATTCCTCCTTGTGGAATTCATAAGACTAACTCCCAGGCGTGCAAATCGGTGCACATCTCTTGCTAATTCTCTCTGTTCTTCCTCAATATGGGTGGTGCTACCCATAGACAACTCGCTTAAAGAATCAGTAACAACATTTAACTTTACCAGGGTGATAAATAAAACTCATGTCATCATCCTTGAGTACCTTAACCACTCTCTTTCTGTTTGGGATTAAGCTCATTCTAAGTGAACACACCCATATGAACATCATACAACAATGACGCTATATCATCAAAGCAAAAACTACAACAACCGATTCTAGCTCATCACAATACACCACAAAACCTTGAGTACCTTCTGGTAAGGTCAAAACTGGAGCAGAAATAAACCTTTTTTCAATTCCTGAAAGCTTTTCTCACAAGCTTCAAACCATTGAAACTTTGTTGTTTTTCCGAGTCAACTTGGTCAAATAAAACCCTTATCTACTAGATCCCTTTTACTGCTCTTTCAACTCTTTCAACTCTGCTGATGCCATTCTATAAGGCAGAATAGAGATAGGACAAGAATCTGGAATGAGATCTATACCGAAATCTATTTCTCTCCCAGGAGGAATTTCGGGTAGATCATCTAGAAAAACTTCTGGAAACTCTCTTACTATAGGAACTGATTGAAAAGGAGGTATCTCAACACTAGAGTCATTAACTCGGACTAAGTGATAGATACAACCCCTTGAAACTAACTTCCTTGCCTTACGGTATGAAATAAAATGACCCTTAGGCACTGCTGAACTACTACTCCACTCTAAGACTGGCTCATTCGGAAACTGAAACTTGACTGCTCGAGTTCTACAGTCTAATGATGCATAACAGGCATGAAGCCAATCCATACCTAAAATGACATCGAAATCTACCATGTCTAACTCAACCAAATCAGCCATGGTGCTCTTGTTGATTGATAGAAACAGGACAATCACGATAAACTCTCTTTCTGCTAGAAAAGACTCACCAACAGGTGTAGAGACACTGAATGGCTCACTAAGTTGCTCAGGACTAACATCAAAGTTCATAGCAACATCAGGAGTTACAAAATATAAACTTTCTCCTGGGTCTAGTAAAGCATACACAGTA